GCCAAATTCTAGTGCACTTTGGCAATCAGGGTACTCATGCTCCCACATTTCCACCTATGACAACATCTGCATCTATGTCACCTGATGTCAGTCTGGTTTGTCAGGAGCTGCGTCTTTTACCCCTTGAACTGTTTAAGGGTGAACCAGATTAGTGTCGGGCTTTCCTCAACCAATCTGAAATCAATTTTGAGCTTCAGCCTTCTGCAGATCCTACTGACAGGGCTATGGTAGCCTACACTATCTCACTATTAGCTAGTAAATTTAAGTTGTGGGGAACTTCTGAATGGCAGAACAATCCTGTATTGCTCTTAACATGCTTTTTCTCATAAAGTAATTAATGTTTTTGGCCCAGTTCTTCCCAGAAGAGAGGCTTTGAGAGGACTTCAGTCACTTAGGCAATAGTATATTACTCAATAATATACTCAGAGTACCTGGAACGAGCCACGTTTTTTTACTTCCCGATTTAGTCAGATTTTTGTCATAGTTTTGTGCAGAAAATATATATAAATAATTCACTAGATCCATTACACACATTAGGTTTTAAAAACAAACCAAAAAACTAAATGGAAATTTAAAGACCAAAATTCATGAATCTGATTGTAAATACCTTTCTTAAACACATCATTTCTGAAATTGCTTTTTCTTTTTTCTTTACCTACTCCATTTACCTTTTGTGTGACCCTTCTGGTCCTTGAGCATTGAAAACTCAATTAAAGCAATGACAGCTGCTCTTCGGTTGTAAACAGCTTTCTAACTTGTTCTACCAAGCCGCAGTTGGATCGTAAGACCATGATTAAGAAGCGGTGGGGGGGGGTGGTTCATGGCACTGCAGTTTGACCACTATATATATCACTGCATATTACACACTGTAGCTTTAAAGCATTTCTTTATTTCAAGGTTTACTATACATTTTCACACGGGGAAAGTTAATATATTCTTTATTTGTACTTGTGTATTAAAACCAGAGTGGACTGCAGCAGTTTGTTATAATATTCCAAACCATTTCTTGCAGCATAAAGGTTTCTTCCTGATCTTTTTGGATTCCTGTCCCAAACACAATAAGAGGAAATGGCACAGGATACCCAACCGGCACTTTGAGGCACAAGCACAATAAGCTCACTAGGACTGAACTACTGTTAGTGTCCATGGATGCACGCAGCCCACTAGAGTATGTTTGTCTTTTGTACTGTATTTATAATTTGTTCTTTTGAAGAACAAACGGTGGAGATAAAAAATAACTTAAAGTTGTGTGATGGCTATACAGAAAAAATGTCACTCTCAAGTTAATTTACATGGCACTAATTCACAACAATAATCATTGTAGTGGCAATTCTTAAAACACCAATAGATCAGATTAGGAAAAATTACACGGACAAAAATGAAAAATTTTACACATTTTAAGTCCTAACCATAATACAGAGGAATCAAGCTCAGTTTAAGAAGTCAATTGATGAAATGTTTTCTGTATCCATGAAAAATGTATTTGAATACTTAAATGCAAGACAGTGATAAGTTATGTTTGTTATCACTAAACCTTGAGCTCACCTCAGACTCTGGCACCTTCTTTGGCTTCCTTGCAGGTGTTTTGATGGAACTGCCAGGAACATTCTGATAAAGAAGACAAAGGATAAAAAAAAAAAAAAAAAAGATTTTCAGTTGAAATTCAATCATCAAAAATGTTGAGGTGGAAAATATTAGGCCATGTTTGATGAAACCTCTGAACAACCAGTCTCTTACTGACATTTTCCTTCTCAAAGAAGCTTCTGATATCCTTCATGTGTTCTGCTGTCTTGCGCCTTTTTGGAGCCATTTCCACCTGATGTGACGACAATAAAAATGGAACTGTGAGAAAATGTCCTGATTTAGGAGATCAAACTTGGTTGTTAGTTGCGTTAAACTGATATTTCACTATACTTTCCCTTTTGATTAAGTGGGACTTATGTTACCCTGAGCTACCTCAGTAGTCATGCTGCTATAGGCTTAGGCCCCGTCCACACGAAGCCGAACCCTGGCCTAAATGCACAAATTTTTCACCAAACCAGCGCGTTTCGGGGGTCTGTAAACGATCTTTTTTTTATTAAGCCTTCAGAGTGGGAAGATTTTGAAACGCCGTTTTCGCGGTTCCATCTTTAAGCTCTAACCGCATTTTTTCTTACATGCATGCATCATATCGTTGCCTCTAAACACGCATGCACGACACAG